GGGAGCACACTGGCAATGGATGACAAACATCAATTTATGGGAAGGAACACAACTTGCCTCATGAGATCTTAATATAGAAAAGAAATCCTGCTGGAGGAGCTTCCCTGGTGCTCCTATACAGCACCTTCAATGTGTAATCTGTGGCTTTTTATCAAAGCCTATGATTTATGAAATATGGATGGCTATGCACTGATGCCTCATCGCAGCTCAGCTATGCTCTGTGGTTTGCTCACCTGAAGAATGTGGATGACACTCATGGTTAGTCAAGAGAAGCTGCCAAGCATCCACTGATATATAATACAGAGATTGCAGCATGCAGAACTTGTAAGAAGAACAAAGTCAGGTTCTCAGCCTCCAGGAATTACCATGTATCTCAAACCCACCTTCAGACAAAGTTATTACACTGGAGTGAGAGCAGATCAAACCCGCCTGTAATGTTTGCTTATTATTGTCAGTTTTCAAACTGCAACCTGTGCTGTCTCGGAGCAATTTGTCCTTTGGTTTGAAGCTGATTGAGGGCAGAACAAAATGGCTCAATTATAAAGTTACCATAGCTGGATCTCTTTAAAAGGGAGCCCAACTTAATTTCAGCTTTGCCTCATTCTGAGGAAATCTCTGATGTAATTTGGCAATCTTCTCCGGGTGGTCCTGAGGGGGTAGCATAAAAAAAGAAGGCAATTCACTTCCATCAGGCTTCTGGGTTTGCAGCTTAAGCTGATGGTATTGAAATGAAGGTGAGATTTGTTTAAAACTCTTCTGCAGTGAAACAGCCATTTACAGCTGCTGCCATATTTCAGCATGGAGTGGCAGTAGGGAGGGGAAATGGAGTTTAGGTGTGGGTGGGATGCCAGGATCCATACAAGAATTCAGCATGTTCTCCTAGAGAATGGTGAGGTTCTGGAAAGCTGAAATCAGAGTGATTCGAAATGTCCTCTTCAGAGCATAAGCAATTTATGTGCTTTAAAAAGAAGAGAAAATAAGAGCTCTAAGAATGGAGGTGCAAACTCTGTTGTGCCCACAAAGCCTGTAACTACAGCCCCAGCTAGGTGGTTCAGGATCATTGCCCCCTTTTCTGAGGATAAAAGAAGGGAGCTACCATTGACTACTGGTTCTTTGGGCCTTCAGAAGTGCTGCTTCTAGCAGCCAAGATGCCCAGAGAGATTCCTGGTAGCAAAGCTGACAGAGGTACAGCTTACAGAGGTGTGGGTAGGAAGCATGTAATCGTTAGAAAGCAACTACTGCAATGAATGCCTGAGAAGTGGCTTTTAGCCATCACATGTGCTTGCCATATGATTGTTACAGCCTTTAGACAACTGAGGTAGCCCACATTGCCCACCCACTCTCTATTCCAAAAGATTTGGGGAAGTGACTCAAAACATTAGTTAAAATTTAATCAAAGCATTAATAAGAATTAAAATTTAATCGAAGCATTAATAAAAGGAAGTTGGTTCATCTCCAGCATTTAGGTTAACCTACAATAGTGCTCACATATTTCCTAAACATGAAATACTTCAAGTACTGCAGTAGGAAAAGACGGATTTTGCTTAGGAGGGTGTTTGGTCGATTACGGAAGTGCTGGGGTAACTTGGTCCTGGGTGTTACCAACTCAAAACTACTGAGCTTGGAGACCGAGTGGCTTTTTTGACCACCAAAGTAGTCCCTTTTGGTTAAATATGAGGCTTGGAGGTGCAGAAGCTGGTGCTGGGCTGCCTAGCTCATGTAGTGACACACCGTGGGCTTTTGTGCTGCTGCAGGAGGGGGGATACTTAGAGACTTAGGGGTCGTCCTTTCCAAGGGAAGCTATTCTTTCCCTTTAAATAATCATGGGTTTAGGGGTTACCTTGCTTCCACCACACTCTGAAGTGGTTATTCTGTTGTCTTCTGCACAACGGCAGGATCAGAGTGAAAGGATTGCCTGCAGGTGCTGGGTTGTCTATGGGAGTGTAGCTGGGCTTCTCTCCTCTCTGCACAGTTAGGGTCTTTCCCTGCCAAAGCTTCTTCTCTCTTTCTGCTACAGCTGCTTACTTTCTCTCCCAGTTTTCCCGAAGACTTTTCAAAGCCTTTAGAATCAAAGGACTGAGTATTATGAATGAGCTAAACCCAAACGCACAAACGGCCACACAGACCCCAAAATCAAGCCATGAAAATTCGGTTGTAGTTTCCTCCGTGCTGCATCTCACCAAAAGGAAAACGGCACCTTAATTCTGGGCCTGGCTGAATATTGCCAGCTTAAAAGACAAAGTCATGATGATAACGATATTCCACTGGGTCATTTTCTTAAGTCACATGGAAAGAGCAGAGCCTGAAGAAAATACCAAAAATGAGGTTTGATGATACCCACACACACACACAGAGAAAGATTTTGGCAAGTATTTTTGTGTATGACCCAGTCTGTGTGTTACCACTGCATAGATTTACTGTATTATTTTACACTGCATCTAGAACTTGCTATCAGACCTGAAAGAAGCCTTTGCAGAGAGGTGAGCTTTTGCCACAAGGTAAATAATCCTTTGAACTTGTGACCACGGTTAAGGTGCACATTTCCTTACACTTCACAAGTGGTGAATGAGAGGTCTGATTAAACATGATACAAAAAGAGCTTGCAAGTAGCACTGTTTACTAACATTTCAATTTCTATGCCTCATTTATTAGAGTTAGAATAAAAAGGTTAGAGGGGTGTTTGGGATTGTCTTTAACCTTGATGATATTTCCACTGAAGCAGCATAATGGCTCTTAATTGCTTAAGTGAAGAGAACATGTTGACATGTCCTTCTTTGTGCTTAAAGCTCTGTGCCTAAACCATTATGCTAATTCAAGCATTATATACACCAAAGTATTTATGGGACTGACACAAGTGATGTTGCAGGTAAAGGGCTGTGAAATGGTCTGTAAACAGAGAGAATTGATTCCAGGCCCAAAGCAATGCTGTTAAAGTCACAGACATTGAACAGCCAGCCCTACAATTTCTATCCAGATTGTCAAACTGGGTCAGACAGTGTCGGCAGGGCTGCCATTAGAGATCAGATGGGTGGCTTTAATAATATGTAAACCAAGCACAGAAACGCAAATTAACATGGAAGCAATACGGACTTGACTCTGCCTTTTGCTTTTCCTGTGCACAGCAGTTTTGGTCACAGAATACTCAGTTGTAACATTTGCTAAAACATTTAGGTGTTTAAAAAAGGAAGAATATCAGCAGTATGACTTGTTACTGCCTTTTTCCTAGTGAAGAGAGCAGCACTGAGATTTGAAGAGATCACAAAGAGCATGTGCATCATGTGAATCTGAGTACAAAAATAGTCTATTTAGGGGGGTTTCATTTGCTTATCCAATATAGGAAGCTGGGGAGGTTATTTGTATTTTCCTCCTTGGGTCTAAGGCTTCAGAGTGGTTTTATGTTATGCTGAAATAATTTATTCTCCTGCTTGTTTTATTACTAATAACTCCTAGGTTTTGGCACTGCAGAGAGTGTTGAAAATACACTTTCCTTTAAATCCTGCATCCAATTTATTGTTTGCATTCCACTAATTTTAGGCAGCTAAATGAGACTGATCAGCTCTGCCTTTATATCTGCTTATTTTCATTGTTGGCTGTGGAACACCAGGACTGACACTCTCCTGTTTAGGTTTAAAGTGATGCAGAGTAATATCTTAGTCTCTGTGTCTTGCTTGTACACGCAGAACAGACATTTCAGTGATTTTGATTCTTTTTTATATGTCAGGAGAACACCATCATTCATCCCAGACCTCCTGTGTAACATATAAACCTCAGAGGGAAGTTCCTGTATTCACCATAGTCTGTAAAGCATTGGCACAGGATTGTGCAGTGGTGATTATTTAAATGCCAAAATAATCTACATAAATACAAAATAATGGATTTCACAATAATGCTTTTTATAAAAAGATAAACTTTTACCTTGAACTCACCTGAGTGTCCTTTGAAGCTGATCCTTCAACAGAAATTTGGCATTCAACAGACCTGATTATAGATTAAAGTCTAGACAAATACGGACTAGCACCTATAGCAGAACATCTCTGTACTCCCCAGCAAAGCACACTTTGGTCAGGCATCAGCATCTTCTCACCACTGGATGTTTTTGATTTGATGTCATTTTATAGATTGCTGCATGGCTGAAGGAATTACACTGCAAAAACATCACCTGCCCATGCTGCTCATAAACATCTGGGGATTGTGCATCCGAGATGAGCATGCCCATGGAGTCTGCCAGGGTATTCACTGTATGCTGACATGTCTTGGATCAAACACATAATATCATAAGAAAATATTTGATGAGTGGGAAGAGATGTGGGTTTTAGTTTGGAGGCTGGAATAGAAGAAGGTGCTGGGGCCATTTAACCCCAGGAATTCCCTTCAGTTGTGAAGTGAGTAATTTTGCAGTATTCAGAAAAGTCAAATGAATGGATGAAGGATTTGTAATAACTGAAGGGAAGGGTAGTTACATTAAGTCTGGAATAGGATGCAGGACCCAAAGTGGTATCAAACATTGCCTTTGTGAATTTGAGCAAGACACTTAATCTAAATCTCACTTTTCAATCTGTAAAACGGGACTGACAGGATTTCCTCTCCTATTGAGATAGCTGGACAGACAGGAATCATCCTAACTCCTCATTCAGTGGGTCCTCCCTCCTATTACTACCATTCAAATATACATGGCTGTTAGGTACTGCTCCCAAATATATATGTATCACCCGAAACAGCCTGTTTGGAAAATGGGTTTCCAAAATATGACAGAAGATATTTTTGTCTGTGTTTATACTAAATGGCAGCGTGTTCATTCCTTTTAAAACGCTGCTAGGCTATTTGAGATTTATACATTTACCGAGGGGTCACTATCAGCTTGAAAAATGCTATGTATTATCTTCAGAAGCAAATTTTCTTGCCCAGTATGATCAATAGCCCTAAAACGGTACGAATTCTACCAGACTAAAATATGGGGCAACATTTCTTTAAGTTACTTACTTTCTGTTTGTCTCTCACCT